CAAGGTCAGCTTTCGTGAGTGGGAGTCCATGCCGTTGAGCCCGTGCATAACCCCCATCTCTGCCACCATGGCCAATTTTTTCATTGGCCCATTGAGTAATAACAGGGATAGCTGAAGAAAGAGGCTGACAGTTCACAGAGGGGGTCATCCAGTCTACTTGATTATTGAACTCATCTTCTGCTGAAGCCACTTTTCATGAGCATTTACATGAGACACAAGTATGTTCACATACTTTGCCCATCTGGAGAGATCTATCCACATACTTCTTCCCCAAATGTCTTTCTCACCTATTTTCCAATCATGCTCCTTCCAGGTCACTGACCATCCAGCCAAACCATTGGCTATAGCCCATGAATCAGTATATAATCTCACTTCTGGCCATTTCTCCTTCCAAGCAAAGTGCGTGACCATGTGCACTGCCCAAAGTTCTGCCCACTGTGAAGACTTTCCTTCCCCAGTGTCCTTCAGGGTTGTTCCAGAAGTTGGCTATAATGCTACAGCTGTCTACTTCTGAGTAGTGCCTGCATAGCGTGCAGAACCATCTGTAAACCAAGCCCTAGTCTTCTCTTCCTCAGTCAACCGATCATAGGGCACACCCCATGAAGCCATAGGTGCATGCTTGAGAACAGGAGGCATCGTAACAGGAGTAGGAACCATAGGCATTTGGGCAACTTCTTCATGTAACTTGCTTGTGCCCTCTGGGTCTGCTCGAGCCCAATCACGTATATACCACTTCCATCTGATAATGGATTGTTGCCGTGCACGGCCTACTTTATGGCTTGGGGGTCAGATAACACCCAGCTCATGATGGGCAGCTCTGGTCGCATGTTGACTTGGTGGCCCATTGTTAAACGTTCAGTTTCCACTAAGGCCCAATAGCAGGCTAAGAGCTGTCTTTCAAAGGGAGAATAGTTGTCGGCAGATGAAGGCAAAGCCTTATTCCAAAATCCCAATGGCCTCCACTGTGATTCCCCTATGGGGGCCTGCCAGAGACTCCAAACAGCATCTTTATCTGCCACTGATACCTCAAGCACCATCGGGTCTGCTGGATCATATGGCCCAAGGGGCAGAGCAACGTGTACAGCAGCCTGGACCTGTTGAAGGGACCTTTCATGTTCCAGGCCCCACTCAAAGGTAGCTGCCTTCCATGGGTTGTAGTAACACACCCAGATGAGGAATGTGCTGCCTCCAGAATCCAAACAGGCCCACCAAAAGTTGTGCTTCTTGGTGGAGGGAGGGGCCAAATGCAACAACTTATTCTTCACCTTAGAGGGAATGTCTCTGCATGCTCCACACCACTGAACTAGAAATTTTACTGAGGTAGAAGGCCCTTGAATTTTGATTGGATTTATTTCCCATCCTCTCATGCACATATGCTTATCCAACAAGTCCAGACTGTCTGCTACTTCCTTCCAATCAGCATAACATCATCAATATAGTGGACCAGTGTGATGTTTTGTGGAAGAGGCAGGCAATCAAGAACCCTTCGAACCAAGTTATGGCACAGTGCTGAGAGTTAATATACCCTTGAGGCAGGATAGTAAAAGTATACTGTTGGCCTTGCCAGCTGAAAGCAAATTCCTTCTGGTGGTCCTTATGAACCAGTATCGAGAAAAAGCATTTGCCAAATCAATAGCTGTATACCAGGTACCAGGGGATGTATTATTCTGCTTGAGTAAGGAAATCACATCTGGCACAGCAGCTGCAATTGGAGTCACTACTTGATTAAGTTTTCGGTAGTCAACTGTCATTCTCCATGACCCATCTGTCTTCTACACAGGCCAAATAGGAGAGTTAAAGGGAGATGTAGGAATCACTACCCCTGCATCTTTCAAATCCTTGATGGTAGCACTAATTTCTACAGTCCCTCCAAGGATGATTTTGGTTCACTATTTTCCCTGGCAAAGGCAATTCCAGTGGTTTCCATTTGGCCTTTCCAACCATAATAGCCCTCACTCCATAGGTCAGGGAACCAATGTGGGGATTCTGCCAATTCCTAAGTATATCTATCCCAATTATACATTCTGGTACTGGGGAAATGACCACAGGATGAGTTCGGGGACCCACTGGACCCACTGTCAGTCGGACTTCAGCCAAAACTCCATTTATCACCTGACCTCCATAAGCCCCTACTTTAACTGGAGGGCCACAATGATTTTTAGGTTCTCCCGGAATCAGTGTCATCTCAGAACCAGTATCCAATAGGCCGCGGAAAGTCTGATTATTTCCTTTTCCCCAATGTA